GATTTCACCTTTGCTGAGATTCATTTAAGGAAGTATTTTTTTTTACTTTCTGCAGCTCTCCACAAGCTTGTCTTTCTCTGTAACACCTCACACATAGCAAACAAACGATGCCTCTGTGTCCCTGAGCTGGCTCCCAAGGGTTTGTGTGCTGAACACCAGGCTATTTGGAGTTTCAGCAAACACTGTTCTTGAACAGGCACCGAGCTCCGAACTGCACCAGCGCAGCTCACTGGTCTTCTTGTCTTTCAGGAGGATCCAGCGTCACAGGGGAATTTTGCTCTCTAGGATTACCTGAGGGTCAATGTTTTATTTAGTTTGGTGAAATAATGAACAATTGAATTTAAAAAAAAAGCTTGGCAGCTATGGAGAAAAATCAGCTTTGCCAAGCTTTACTAATGTTATCCCCAGTCAAACTGTACTTTTACCAGGACAACTGTAGTTTGTACTTTGACCAATTAAAGATCTTTTTAATTTAGAAATGTATAGTCTTCGGCTGGGAAAGAAGGAAGACTGAAGTAAATTGCTGTAATATATATGTGGCATTTAAAACTACACTATTAGTTTTTAATTTTTTTTTTAATGTTCCAAAATCCCAGTCCGTGGTTTATGACCTTCAGGTTTAAATCTTTCACACTGTCTGTTGCAAAATAAATACTGGTGTTTTTGTCTGACAGGTTATCCAGGGATCATTCCGAGCAGTTATTTATGCAGTCTCCTACTTGGGTCAGTTTATTTTTTACTGTTACAGTCCACACAATGTAAAAAGAGGATTTAAATAGAGTTCTACTCATCCTACTATTTAGGCACGCCTGCAACCCAGATATTTGGCAGCAGGCAGCACACAGAAAATTCTACTCAGTAAACAGGTTTGTCCAACACAAGTTACAACCAGAGATACCAAGCAAATCAGGCCAGAAGCAAAACAAAAACATCACAGGATTTGTTGTCCTTCTCATGCTCTGCCTGGAAGAGAACTGAAAGGCTCTAAAACCAGGAGTGAGAATGGCTGGAAAGGGAGGAACTTAGTTGCTCAACTTGTCGTAGTTCTGCTGGACTTGACAGCACAAAGGATATGCAAAGGTAACAAGACTGAAACCAAAGGTTCCTATTAAAAGCTTTTCTCTGACATTCTTGTGTGCTGACTAAGATCTGAATTCTCTGCGTGGTTAGATACACCTATATAATAACACACTGAATTAAATCTCACACTTAGAATCTGGGAGGAAAAAAGTTTCCCATTTTTATGAAAGTTGACCTTTAAGCGTGAAATCTCTTTTTCCAAACTACCCTACACCTACACCTACAGGTGTTTACCTACATCTGTAAAGTGACACAACTCCGAGCTCAGGTCCTACGTGGGAAGCAGAAAAACAGTACAGAGCTCAGGGTGCTGCCTTGTCAAGTTGGCAGTTCAGGAAACACGACCTTTTCACACATCAGATCAACACATCTGCCCTAGTTCAGCCTGCCACACAGACCACAACAGATGATACAAAGAAAACCATTCAATGTTAGACTTCTGGAAGATTTTGACTATGTCAGTCTAGTGGAGACACACTCATACCAGGAGAACTTTAATGACAGGAGGGCAAGTCTATACACAGAGGTTCAGCTGTATCTAAGTACAGGCACAGTCTAAGATATTTTTAACTGCACCCACAACGACAATTTTGTCAGTCTGATGAATAAGAAAAAGGTGAGGTCAGCATAAAGTGACATGCAAATCAAATTTCAGTTGAGCCAGAAGAAGGGTCAAATGACCTTATTCTTCCCCAAAATGACTTAACCTTGCCCCAGAAACAGGCTGTGGATAGGACTCCGAGATAGTCACTTAGGCCTACAGTTTTATGATTTTGTCTGCAAGTCACAAATGCAAGCCCATGATCCCACCCACATACCTCTCCATTTATGTACACACATCTGGTGTTTTGCATAGATGTGGGAAAAAAATACTTTTGCTTCTCTCTGCATGTGGTGGTGTTTTGGTTGGATTGGGTTTTTTTAAACTGAAAAATGGGAATACTTAGTGCATTTGGGGAGAAGTGTGGCAAGGGTGGAGAAACTTACTTTATGAGGCTCAGAGCAAATCCATGAAAAGCCAAGATGGAAAAATCCAGAGGAGCATGACAATTATCCTGTTCAGGTGGTCAAACTGTTTTGGTTCCCTTGGTTTGAGATTATCTTTCTCACTGACTAACTGTCACTATTATTTTAATTTCCTTTTTGAACACTAAATTCTGCTCTAGCAGAAACAGACTTTGTAATGTCAACATCTGTTTTATGTTATACGGAATGGTAATTTTAAGTTAGCAATTTCTCAAATTTAAAACCAAACATGTGCTTCAGATGTTTATTTTTAAACTGCAAAGGCCTGTGTGGGGTTCTTGCCTTCACAGTACTTCTCTCTCTGTGAGTAAGTGAGGTTGCAAAGCTGCCTTTCTGACGATGTTACACAGATCTTTTTGATCACAAAAATCAGGTCTCATGTATATGGGCAAGACTTCAAAAAATTTTAAAGCAGTATTATTTATACTAGGGCTGTCATTGGTTCATAAAGAAAATGGAGGTTTAGGTGCAAAGGCCTTTCTCATTGCTGTGAAAAACTACTACCACTCCAAGACAATACAGAAAGGTCTCGACCAGAAGGGTCTATGCCCTTCAAATTCCACTTACTAACAAACTGCCATTACAAAGAATCTCTCTGCATGAAGATTTCATTTGTATACATTTCAATACTTGAGAATGCAAGGTTTTTAGCATGAAAACCTAGCAGCAATACCTTAAACCCTAACCCAAGAGTATCCCTCAGAGCTGCATGTTTCCTCTGCCTTACCCTTCAAGTCTGTAATCTGTACTCTGAGACGTAAAACCCACCTGCTAAAACCAAGCACTGCTGCCACTACCTTAAAAATATCTGCTTACTTTTTAAATCCAGAAGTAGTATTCATTATAAAGTTGGCCTTTTTAAACAATAATCATAGGGGTATACTACTAAAACATTCAAAGCAAGTAATTTTTGAGGGCTGGGGGAGTTGTTTAAAGGTCATACCTTTTTCTCATTTGTTTACTAAATGTTTTGTGCCCAAGGCCTTTCTGGCAATGAGCATAAGGAGCTACTTAGAATGTGAGAGACCTTATAAGGCTGGGCTTAGCAGGGTGGATCCAGGTGCAACAAATACATTTTTTTCTACATACACACTAACAAAGATATTTTGTAAACCACACTTTATTACAACACAGAACAAATACAGCATAATGCGTCTAGCAGGAGCAAACTACAGAACAGGAAAACAGCAATGAGTCACACAACATACATAATCCTGCCTCTAAAAAACAGGAGCAGAATCAGAGGACAAAGACATTTTCCCAGTTGAGAGCTACAAAATGGTTATTTTCTGCTGCACTCATTCAGTGCTCAGGCACAAAATACCTTGTAAATTAAAAAAAAACAAAAACAAACAAACAAAAAAGACACCTTTTCCTGTCAGCAATATTCTAAGGACTTATATTCAAATCTTAAGAAACATCTTGAAAATAACTTAAGTTACATGGCAATCCAATAGAGACTGACACATAATATTCTGCCTCTTTCTAAAAAGGTGCAGGTTAAAATAGAATGAGGTTAAATACTGATCAGCACTAATGGAGACCACACAGCATTTAGCAAGTCAGTTGACACAGGCATAGTCTCGAGTAGCTGGACTGCTCAGAAATTGCTTAAGTATATAAAGCCTAATCTAAAAGCTTGAATCAAACTTTGAAGTCACCTCAAGAATTAATATACAATGACAGAGAGAAAACAGGGAATAATTAATTAGGCTCTTATTACTATAGGCTAATCTCTCAGATCAAGAGTAGATCTTGCACGCTCTACTGTGAGATTTTTTCCTTTCTCTTGCTAGAATTTGTGTGGGTATTTCAGCCTGCAGACAAAGAGTAGCAAACAAGATTTTTCAAAGATTACAAGAAAATAAAGTTATTCAAGATTCAATATGAGACTTCATGCAGCAGATACTAATACTTAAGAGACTTTTTGTACTGGAATGATCTGCCATTAATTTAACTAAACTTACTAAAAACACTCATTAAAATACATCTGGGATATTCAACAGAGACAAGTTTTGGGTAGAAGACCATACAGGCTACAGTTGGTGTCCCTTAGAGAGCAGTGCTGGAGTAGAGCAGCAAGCTGTGACTCAGAACACACCGAAGTGCAATTCTTTGTTCCCTGGTTGCTCCTTACACACTGCACTCGCTGTCACAGCAGCCCAAGCACAGCCACACACAGAGCTACGCTGCAGAGGGCAGCTACAGCCCAGGCACACACACAGACAGACAGGAAACTGAAGTAGGAATACAATCAAACAGGCATTACCTGAATCAAACCTGAATCATTAGCTGGCTATCATTAACTGAATCGTTACCTGGCTATCAAACAATCCCAACTAGGATGCCAGGTCAGTTCCTATGAAGAACAATAAATAACAACTCTCTGCTCTTAGGACTATAGTTTCACATATTTGGGAATCACCAACTGTGACATATTTACTGAAGCAAATGTAACAAAAGCCCCAAAATAACAAAACACTATTTTGTCCCTTTTAATATACCTGATTTTTATTACTGTAATTATTTCTAACTCAATTATTTTAGTGTGCGTGCCATTAACTCAATGACAGAGCAGCAAGCATCGAAGTTTTCCCTGTTCCTGCCTTCTAGACAAGTCAGCCCTCCAAAGTCCCTTAGATTTCTCTTGCCACATTTAAGATTGCTGTCAACAAAATCCTAGAAGCAGAAGACAACAAACACTACATCCTCAAACATCAATCACCTACAGAAAAGCTCTCAAGCAGATCAATCACAAATTCACGAGGAAGATATTTGTGTAGCACTGTATAGATTAACCTAGTTCTATTTTAGGCTACTCCAGCCACTCCTGGCTGCGACAACAAAGCGCCTTCTCTGCAATCACGTTTTTAACCCCTCAAAAAAGAAAAAAATATGCAAATGAAACCGACTTTTGAAACATATTCCTCCCACTCCCCTGCCCCAAAAGCCTTCAGAGCAAGCTGGAACCTTGGCACCTCGTGCCTGAACGGAGTCATACGCAGCCAGCCCAACACCGGTCGGGTGGCAGGGGCCGCAGCTACGCTGGCCGCCTCTCCCATCAGCTCCCCAGGCAACTGGAAACACCGCCTGATCCTCAGCGTGGGAAGCTCTGAGACGCGAGATTAGTGGAGAAGGAACTCCAACCAGACAACAGCGTCTGCCCCGGCTACTGCCGTGCTAAAACACGCGCTCTGCTCCCCACAGCGTGTGGATCTGGAGGTAACATCTCTCGGAGGACAATGGGTGAGGAGGAGTGCCTGCAGGACAGGCTGGCACAGCCGATGCCCGCACCGGCCCCCGGCCGGCAGGGCGCGGGCGCTGGGTGTGGACGCGGATGAGCGCGGGTCGGCCCGCGGGAGCCGCTCAGCCGGAACCAGCGGGAGGACACGGGGGCATCTCCCCGCTACAGGGGACTTCCCGACGGCCAGAAATACGCACAAACGCCCCCAAGCCCTAAAAGCGCCAACAACAAGGCAGGATTTACCCTCGTTTATGCGGCGTGATTTCAAGGCCGGTGTCCGGCGGGTAAGTGCCAGCCCCGCCGCCCTCTTACCTCGGGCCGGGCCGGGCCCGGGCTCCCGCCTCTCCCCTTACGGGCAGAAGGGTGCGGGGCTCCGGGCCGGGCGGCAGGGCCGTTCCACGCCCGCATGCTGCGGCGGGAGGCGGCCCGGGCTGGGGCCGCTCGGCCGCCGGCGGGCCGCCCGCCCGCGGGCAGGAGCGCCCAGCACACCCGCCCCGCCGAGAGACCTCGCCGGGCATCAGGGGAGCCCGGCCCGGGCACCTCCAGCCCGGCCTCAGCCGCGGCGGAGGACACGGAGCTGCCTCCCCGAGCCACGCGCGCTCCCCAAGCGCGCCCCTACCCCTTGGCGTGCTCGGTCTCCTCCTCATTGTCGCCGTCTATGCCGCAGGTGTCCTGGTCATCCAGCTCCAGGCTCTGCTGGCTGGCCGCGGACTCGCTGTCCTCCGCCATCACGGGGAAAGGAGGGAGGGAAGGGGCGGGGGAGCCTGTGAAAGAACCGGGGCGCACGGGCAGACGCGGTCCGGAGCAGCTCCCTCTAGCTGCGGTCCTTCCCCGCGCCAAACCGGGGAACGAGGAGGCGGCGGCCGCCGGGCCTGCCCGGCCGCTCCCGCCACCCCGCGGGGACCGGGGCGGGGCCGTGAGGGGAGCGCTCCGCGCCCTGTCCCGCCCGGCCGGGTCCAGCCCAGCCCAGCCCGGTACACTCGGGCGGTGCGCTCCTGGGCCGGGCCCTGCACTGATCCCCTCATGCCGAATCCACGCTGCTTCGCCGGCCCTCTGCGGTCTGGGTATCCCGTCCATGGGCGCTGCCCCCACAGCCGCGGGAGACCCGAGCGCAGCCCCGGCGTGTCCGTCCCGCCGAGCTCCTCGGGCTGGGCCTGCAGCCGCCGGGCCTCGGCGGCATCGACGCGCTTTCTGCCGGCTTCCCGTGTCTACTTCTCACACCGTAAACACTGGGACGCCCAAGTTATTTTCATAGGTCTCCTTAGAGCTTTAGTAGTGACTCTTGGTGTGCTGCTAGATGTAGACAAAATACCCAGCTGCTTATGGCAACAAATTGGAAGAAAGGAAGAGAGAAAAGCAAATAAATTACTTCAGATCTAGCTCTGCCTTGTTGCTCCCACTAAAGTCAGCCACCAAAACACAGAGCAGTGTGTAGGGGACCCACCACACCACCATACATCTCAGCTTTCTGGCTCTTTCCCCATTCTACCTTCCAGGTTCTGTCTCTCCCAGTTCTCCTTAAGAGAGGCAGTCCAGGTTCTGTCATGGCTACACAAAATTAACCTGTGTCTACAATTCAGAGATGCTTTTGAGCCACCTCAAACGCATGTATGAGCATAGGTCCAGATGCACAAATGGACTTTGCCATTGCTGTGTTTAACTTTTTCCTAGCTGACTCCCAGAGGAAACTCCAGGACTCAAAATGAAGCTCTATGAACAAAATTTGCTGCTGGTGGAGGCTGCTAAGGCCACCAGGACAATCCCAGTACTGTGGATGGTGGGTGCTCCCAGCACTTGCTATTTTCCTAATGCCTTTTGTATTTCTACAAGCTCCATGCTAGAAAACCTGGAATTGAATGGTAATGATTTATACCCAGGAAAACAAATAAAGAGTACCTTGTGTTAAGTATTTGAACTGTCACGATTTCCAGGGTCAAATCAAGCTTTCTGAATGAGATCCAGAATTTGGTTTGGCAGTGCTGCCAAACAGCCCATTAAAACATAAGAATAGGCTACATCAGTTGTAATTTCTCCTTGTCTTTGTACCCGTGAAAGCAATTTAATGTGAGGAAGCTATTGCTTCTGCCCTATTTAAGGTTTGATCTGGATTACTTTTTTCTATTTTTGATTTGAGGTGACGTCATATTTTGCTCTGTCGTGTATTGCAGGTGACATGTGAAGTAAAAGATCTTGCTGGCCAAACAGAAGAAAGCTAAATGTCCTTCCAGCTGTCAAACTCTGATCTTCTGTATACTCAGCACTAGCCTGGGGACGCCCTTCATCCCACTGCACTTGGTTCTTTACAACTTGTGAGTTGCCACAAGAACTTGTAATTCAAACGCATGAAATGGAATCTGTAATTTACACTTGGCCAAGCAGGACCTCCCAGTGTCAAGCCCATCGCTGTAGTTTAGAGGCAAAATGTATCTTTCATGTCACTCCACTTTGAAATGACCTTTAGAGTAAACCTTAATTCAGTTGTAATGCGCAGGAGAGAAAAGAAATCTCAAAACAAAGGCACAATTCCCAATAGTTTTCAATAACAAAAAACAGTTGTAAAGTTGTCCTGTAGCCTGGAGAGAAGTTAATCCAGTGATTATGAATTATTTTTTCCCCTCATAATTATGTGTAAGAGTAAGTGAAGAACAGTAGGTCAATGACTAAACAGCTCTATTGAATCACTCTGTTGGAGAAGCTGTAGATTTCACTGTCTTCTTTCCTTTACCACATTTTTCCTCATTTCATTGAGACAAATGGAGTAGAAGAGGCCTGGATCCTGACTCTTCTGGCATTTCATACTGTCATTTAAAGAGGCAATATGAATTTCTCCCAGCAAGCTGCCCTGCTAGGCATTCTCCTTGGAAGGGGGATTATAGCTGCAGAATGGCTGCTATTTTATACTTTTTAGCATGTGTGAAGAATGACCTTAAGCATAGTGCATTTGATATTCTGAGATTATTATCCAGGTTTGACCATTGCAAGGTCAAAGGACAGTACTGGATTGTGCTTTGCATTCTATGAAAATGTAATTTTTGCTTATACCACAAGTAGAGAAGTTCACCAAAAGTGAGTTAAGCATTTGTCCTGTGCTGTGGATTTCTGAGGTAGCTTTGCATTTCTGAAATTAGGAGACATATTCCCAGAGCATTTAAATTCACTCTGCAGACACTGCTCAGCAGTTACATTACTTGACACATGCTGGCTATTACATGTGTAGTTGTCCTCTGAAAATAGAGCAGCAAGGTGAAAAAATGTATCTTTGAGTTTCAGGACCCCACATGCTCAGCCACAGAGAGTTATTGGAGTATGAAACATCAGGACAACAAGCAGCAAACATGGCACCTGCAGTGCCCGAAAAGGCTCCTTGTGGGCATCTTCCAACATCTCTGCTGTTGCACGTGGGTATATCCAGGAACCTCCCAAAATGCTCATGCCAGTACTGCAGACAACCCACAGACTCACACCAGTCTAAGCAGACCATCAAAAACCATCAGAAATGTTTAAACTTAACCAGGTAAAGAGCTTGTGTTTTTAAAGGTGCAAACTTACTGGTTTTAATTGATAAAAAAGACTTCTTCCTAGATGTACAGGGAAGATAAAATGCAAAAGCCTTTTATTTTATGAAGATTGAAAAGAAGCAAGCACAGTCATTTTGCACAAAAGCTGAAAAGTTATTAACAAAGGAAAATAGACTTCCTTTGCAGGAGATACACTTTACTTAATAGTAAATGGCATATCATGAAATCAGTTAAAGTATTTGTGGCATGTCATGAAGTATTCATCAGTTGGGTATTTTCATAGGTCTCCTTAGAGCTTTAGTAGTGACTCTTGGTGTGCTGCTAGATGTAGACAAAATACCCAGCTGCTTATGGCAACAAATTGGAAGAAAGGAAGAGAGAAAAGCAAATAAATTACTTCAGATCTAGCTCTGCCTTGTTGCTCCCACTAAAGTCAGCCACCAAAACACAGAGCAGTGTGTAGGGGACCCACCACACCACCATACATCTCAGCTTTCTGGCTCTTTCCCCATTCTACCTTCCAGGTTCTGTCTCTCCCAGTTCTCCTTAAGAGAGGCAGTCCAGGTTCTGTCATGGCTACACAAAATTAACCTGTGTCTACAATTCAGAGATGCTTTTGAGCCACCTCAAACGCATGTATGAGCATAGGTCCAGATGCACAAATGGACTTTGCCATTGCTGTGTTTAACTTTTTCCTAGCTGACTCCCAGAGGAAACTCCAGGACTCAAAATGAAACCCTACAAGCACTCAAATACTTTGGGCATCTTGGTGGCCAACAGGAGTTCACAAGAACCCCAGGTTACTAAGGGAGGAGCCATCTCTGCTTGGCAGTAAGAAATACTGGGAATAGGGAAGCCTAAATTCCCAGTACAGGGACTGGATGAACCATCAGGTGAGTCTGTGCAGTACGTGGGCAGGCTTTACCATGCTTCTCCTTGCTCTTCTGCGACTGAATAAAGCCAGCCAGGCACAGATATTGTTTCCCTCAAGCAGCCAGGCATAACCCAGACTTGTTTGCCTGCCTAGCACCACATTAATTACATCCCAGTGAGCTGGTGATATATAATCCAGCATTCAGGCTATTGGCATCATCTGATTAGTCTATGTGTTTTGGTTATTAAACACTGCAAAAGAAAAGTATCTAAAATTTTAATGCAGTCATAGGACTGCTCCTGCCTTTACACACAAAATTGAAATATTCATGGCATTTATAATTTTAAATGGATTTGGAGTGCAAGTAACTTGGTGTAAACATTTTTAATCTTGTAAATTGGAAGCAAAATAGGTCCAATTTGAAAATTAGCTAGTATTTTAGTGTTTCCCCTGTTTTTCTAATTAACATTAAAAAAGTTATTGAACAAACAAATGTATTTAGACTTTGGTTCATTCAAGTGTCTACTAGTACTACCTCATATTGGGGTTTTTTTTCTTATTGGTTGCTCTTTATGGTGAAAACTTAAATACTGTCTTGCTCAATTCTGAATGAAGGCAAGTGTAAAAGAATAAGATTGAAAAGAAACAGAAAAAATGCACCAAAACACTCCGCAGAGTTGTTACAGTTAACAACAGCAGAAGTAGAAATGGTTAGGGAAGGAAATGAGCTTGTGATCCCACATGTTGCACACCTGTATCCATGTGAGATCACACCTCTATCTTTATGGTTTGTCTCACCCACTCTACCTCTTTTCAGCCCCCCCTGCGTACCCTGCCTGGCGAGCTGCAGACTTGCCTGTTTTCACAGCCTGCTTGCTGCTGGCCTGTATTGGCTGCAGTGGTCAAACTGGGACAAGCATTCTCAAAGCATCCCATTCTTTCTGCTGCATTCTCTTTCAGCTTTTTTAAATTCCATTTTCAAATGCAGCTCATACCTTATCTCTTCTATTTTATAGCTTACCTTTGCACAGAACCATCTACTTCTCCTTGCTTGTGTCTGCGTTGGCAAGGGCTGTGGGCTCTACAGCACTGAAGAGGGTTAGGCATTCACATGCATAGTGAAAACATAGCAGAGCATTAAAAAATGTGTATGATAAATACAAACCTTTGTTCTTAGAGGTATGAGTGATAAGGATAGAAAGAATTATTATTGCCAGTAGAGATTTCAATTCTCCAAACCATCTGGTTTTGATGATTGTTGGAAGCAGGATATAAGACTTACATCAAACACAGGTTCAAGCTGGTTCCAGCAGCGCTCAGTTCCTCAGATCCTAGGGTCTCAAGCCCCAAAAAGTTAGAAAACCTAATAATAAGAGCCGACCACTAAATAATTATTACAAATATATAAATATTTTGCCTTTTTATGTCTATTTTTATTCTGAGACCCTTCTCAAACTATGTATGTGAATGAGAATTAGCAGTGACAGAATTTTTGATAAAGACAGTGTTGACACAGGTACTGCAGGAGCTCTGACTGATACTCAGCAATTACTTCTGCCCATCCAATCTCCAAATCAATCCAATTTACTCCATCAGCTCTGCAATCAGTTCTCCCACTAGCCTTTTACACTTCCTGCTATCAATGTGCCTGCTGTTTCCTTCTCTTTGCAGGGAGGCTGCAGGTACAGCCAAGATGCTTTATTTCCCTCATTCTGAATGGAGTGATAGATACATTAGTTATACTTTATCTCTTGACCATTTCAATAGTTTTTCCAAAATGTATGTTTTTAGAGTTTTCTTTTTGCCTGTTTCAGATAGTTCTTTACTAACAAACAAAAAAGAACTTCCTGTGACAGATGTGCTTTCTGGGTGATTAGAAACAGATTAACAGCATGGTTCAGGATGCACACCTATGGCATGGAGAATTACACTGAATTAAGAAGTGTCTCATAGACATAGTATCTTCCCTATGAAGACCATGGAAAATCAGACTCTATTATAACTCTTCAATTTCTACGCAGAATTATTTTACATTTTACAGTAAGATTTTACCCTTCCAGAATTTTACAACTTTGCACAAAAGACTTTGTCAAGTGTGCAACAACTGCAGAGTAACTGACTAAAAATATAGATTCTAGACAAGCTTTAATCACAAAATTTATACATCAGGTCTAGGCTAGAAGGCAAGTGTGAATAAATCTCTTGGAAGTTGGAGGTACAGCAGAAACTCAGCATCAAACATGGTTTTGACCCTGTAATGTCAGACCACAAGGACAATTAAGTTAATTAATACAAACCTTTATGGGCTCTCAGGCCGGTTCTTCCAGTCTGGGTGAGCAACCCTCACTTTGTCATTGCTTCATGGTGAAATGGTGAAAGTAGTATTTAAGCCAGCTTTTATATCAAGTGCACTTATATACATACATGTGAATGTGTATCCATGCATGTGTGCATGCACACACACACTTATCTAAGCATACTTTCAAGGATTTCAAGGAATGAAAGACCAATCCAGCTGTCAAGACAAATACACTTCTCACTGGGGGAACCTGGCTATCATGTTTTTCTTCTCTCATTTTTATTTTATTATTTAATGCAGGATTGCAAGGTGTTAAATATGAGTTAGAGCAAATAGCATAGACAGAAAGCAAGCTTGCCCTCACCAACACCTAAAAGTAGCTTCACTGAAAAGTCTAATCTTAGGGTGTCACATTGTTTGTCCCACTGATGTGTGGCCTCACAGCATGGCACAAAACTTAAAGCAGAATCCGAGAGTTGTGTTTATAGAAGGGGCATTCCTTGAAGAGCGAGGAGACAGAAGCCGAGGCCCATAGCTTCTCTCATCTCCAAGCTTTCTAAACTTCCTACAACCAGTAACTCAACAAAACCCCTTAAAAAACAGTGCTTGTAACAGGACCCACTTCAAATAAATTCTTTCAGTTTTGATACCCAACCTCTCTTGCAGCAGGACCAGCCATTCCTTTAAAAGTGGGATTTCTCATCTCACAGCATTATTTTAAGAACCATTTAATCCCTTTATGATATAAAACTGTCAGGAGCATTCATCTGTTTGGTTTATTGAGAAGTCTGTCTTTCTAGTCATGTAAACACAAAGTCCTTCTCTACAGAATCACAAAAATAACCTGTAAACAAGTATTTCATTTGTACCTCCCTGTTGTCATCACATTTTCCTTCCCTGTGCCTGTAAGTTTCTAAGGCAGAATAGCTATTTAATGATCAAACAAACTAACTGGCACTATTCATTGCTAGAAGTACATCAATAAAGCAAGAAATACTTCAGTTCAGTGATAATAGACCAGGTGCCACAGTTTGCAAAGTAATTACCTGTGGATACCAGAGGATTACAGCTGAAAAGAACTAGATACCCTTTCTGCTATTACTGACAAATAGAAGACAGTACCTGGTCTCAATTTAACAGTTGGAATTACATGAGTAAATGTAATAAAAAATACTCCTCTATTCTGAAAATTGCACTTGATAGCTGCCTGCTTGTTCACCTGAAGCTCCAATTCCAATTGTTTTACAGCATGGAAATGAAAATAGCACATATGATGAAAATATAGTGTATGTAGGTATCTATCATGGCATATGACATAACATACTATTATATATGTTATAAATCATGTGTGAATGTGTGTGTATATATACACACACACAGAGAACAATAGTAAGGTTAGCATTATGAAGCGTTAGTGTTGAACCTGCCAGTTGTTCTGTCTGTTAGCAGAGAACAGGAAAGAATAATGGAGTTGCTCCTATTTTCCTCAACTTTGGAAACAGCAGTTAAATTTGGTTTTATTTTATCTTATTCTAAAGCCAAGGTGCTATTCACAAGGCAGAATACAGAACCATCAGTGATGATGAATTTTGATTTGAATGGAGATGTCACAAGCTGAATACTCCCCCAGCAAAGAGGCTGGGCAAGGTCTCTCAGCTGACAGGGATCTCTGCACTTGGACTGACAGCAGGCCCAGGCAACTACTGATGATTCTGTTCCAGCTGCCTGCTGGAGTTAGTGAAGCTGTTAACTGTGCTTTTATTGAAATGATAAACTGCCTCACACACAGCACGTCTGGAGAAGCAGTTCACCACCAGGTGGCAGATACCACAACTTGAATTTCAAATGCTGGAGAGACCAAACGGCA